CAAGCCACACGCCCATGAGTGTGTGTTGCTGGGGATCCGACCCGGGGCCTTGTACGTGTGCCAGGCAGGAGTTCTACCACCAAGCCACACGCCCAGCGCACAGGGTCGGCTTTTACAGACTCTCCAAGCAGTGATTAGGCAGATTAGGTGCACACAACAAAGATGCACTTATCTTAAAAAATAATTTTAGGATTCAACTAAAAGTTCATTTGCTGATCCGTCCGCTCAAAGCCTGGATACTTACTCCAAGCCTGCACGGCTCACCAAATGACGATAATAGCAGCAGCCGGCCTGAGAAAAAGACCCCGGTTCTGAAGTCCTCCCGCCTCGCTCTCAGGGGCACATTTCAAAGCGAGCGCCTTCATTACCTGAACAGAAGGCTCCCGCTGCCCCAGAAAAGATCTTACCACAGAGGTTATTGTCAGTACTGCTGCCATGCCAGCTGGGCCTCTGACAAAAGATAGCTTCTTCATCGAAGCGTTTTGGGAGCAGAGGGCTTCTCTCGGCTCGGCGCCACGCGTTTTTAATAAGGTATGAACAGGACGCCAGCGTCCACTGGTTACACTTCTCTTCCAGGTTTAATTTAAACAAGATAGTTAAGTATGGCGTGGTTTCTCTTATATGAGAAACCCCAAAATAGTAAAACACAGACAGACTTTTTGGAGATAGGGAAAAGGGATGAGAGACAGGGGTATGGAGAGGAAAAGGGTTGGATATGCTCAAGCTACATATGTACAACACCCCCCAGGGAGTGCGAATGCTGTGTTGTACACACACACACACACACACACACACACACACACACACACCATCCTAGAAAATGCTGGCTAACTGTAAGGTTTCTGTTGTGTGCTTGCTCTCCAGCCCAGTCTGGCCTTGAACTCTCGATCCTCCTGTCTCTGTCACTGGAAGGCTGGGATTACAGGCTGTCCACTGAGCTCAGTTTAGCAGAGATAGGATTTTGAGAACAAGGTCTTTTAAGCAGCTACCTCCTACCAAGCCTCACTCAGTAATAGGTTGGTAAAAAGCAGATTCCTGCATGCAATAAAATCCCACAACCCTGCTTAATCAATCCAAACAGTGGGGCAGACCTGCTCTCCCACTTAGCAGTAAACATCTACGGAAGGCCTGCAATGGCCTGACACGGTGGCGGTCACACCTCAAGAGGCACCAGCTGAAGCCTGCCACAGAGAGCAGAGTCCTAGGACATTCCTGAGTAGGATCCTGTCTGCCTATCATGCGGCTGGCTTGGCAGCGCGGCCTAGCACCTGGATGGATGTGTGAATACCTGGCACGGAGCAGAAACGCACAAGTGTCGACATATGTTACAGGTTTAGTCCTAGTGTCGCTCAGAGGTGGAGTGCGTGCCCAGTACGTGCTAGGCAGGGCCTAGGATCCACCTGCAGCCCCACTCAGAACTAAGTGGGGATGTACAGTTATCATTTAGCGAAACGAGGGAAAGGAGGCCTTCTGTTTGCGATGCAGCGTTCGCGCTTCCACGGGTCACATTCCCAGGCTCTGACTGCTGGAATGGCACGTCTGTTCCTTCTCCACATTGCTGGCTATGATATACAGTATGTCAAAGTCCACTGTGCTATGCATGTAGGAGCTTTGTGAGCAGTGGAGAACAAACTCCAAATGCAAACCGGCAGTGTAGAGGTTCAGAGGTCCTTAAGATTTGTTAACGTCGGCGATCTGGTGACAATTTTGGTCAGAGGTTAAGGAGGATTAGCCATGTAACCCAACATGTTGCCCTGGCTTCTCAGCACAAGTGAAATGTCACAACAGGCTGTTCCAATAACTGTGCATGAGGGTAGAGTGCAGTGCAGATTAGAGCACTAGCTAATAGTGGAAGAGAGCCGCGATCACAAAACTGTGTGCTTCAGTTCAGTTCAAAGAACTGCAATGGGCTTCTCCTGGGACGGGCTAAGGGCTAAGTGTCATGCTAGATGTGGAAAATTAAAGTAATGAAGAGCCTACCTTCTCCACCTTAAAGAGTCCATGTACTTCTTAGATATAGGAAGGAAAAGTATCTAGCTTTAGTTGCAGAAAAGGTTTCATTTACTATAGGGAAATGTTGCAATTACACTGATTGCCTCACTGATCATGAATAAAGTTATCAAAACGAGCAGTCAATCCTTCTTTGTGGGGCAAATGAGAGAAATGATCATGGGTAGCTACTGCATGGCAACCACCAGGAGCCTCACAGCAAATGCTGCAGCGTAACCCACCGCGGATCACCTTACGCTGGCTTAGGAAATCGGCCAGCAGTGGTGGCCCTCACCCGTAATTCCAGCACTGGGGAGGCTGAGGCAGGATTACCACGAATTCAAGGCCAGCCTGGACTACAAAGTGAGTCAAGGCCAGTGGGAACTACATAGTGAGACCCCTTCACAAACAAACAAAAAAAGGTACGGGTCATTCAGGTCTACATTCTGTTTTCCTGCCAAGTTCAACAGTCGTGTGAACAAGCTCGACAACCATTTAATATTTAATTAAGTGAGGTGTTAATTTTTACTGCAAGACCTGTAGAGACAAAAGATGCTTGAAAATTTTTCTGAGTATTCTTCAGTATACTTAGTGGTTAAGAATGTTCTGTAGTTTGAAGTGCAATCCTAGCTCCTAGCATAGTGCACTAACTACTTCTACCAGTAACTATTGTTAAAGAGATTCTGCTAATGACGTCCGGTTTTATTCAGAGGATTAAAAGTGTATTTAGTGTTTAAGGGTCTGTTAGTGTCTGGCACATACCCCCCCCATGCCTGGAGGGGCCGCCCACTCCAAACTAAAGACTGCCTTAGGGTCGCACTTGACACCGTAAGCAAGCCAAGGCAAGGCCAATTTTTAACTGAAAGCGGAGTGCAAATTGAAGTGGGGCAGGTTGAAATCATTTCAGTTGCACTTAGTGAACTATATGCACAGCAATTAACCCTCCCACCGCCACAGTCTAACACCCAACTGAGAAAGCTGCAAACTAGGACGCTATGGCAGAGATGGCAGTCGACTTGGACCCTTCACTCGGAGCGCGATTTAAAACGCTTGCTCCCACACTTGGCTGCAAGCAAGACGCTTCACAGCTCGGCCTCACCTGGAAAATGGGGTGAACTGCTCTCTCGGAGCGAGGCTGCTCATAAGACCACAGCAGACGCGCAAAAGGCTCTCGACGCGGCGACTGCCACAGGGCACCACCACCGTCACCTGCGACAGCTCCCATGCGCGCTGCTGCCACAGCAGGCGCCACCAAGGCCCGTGGAGTCAAGACTGCGGGGTCGGGGCGGCTTTCTCGCCTCTGTGCCCCCGCACCGGACACGCCTGCCTTCGACGTACGCGCCACAAATTAAGTTAGTAACCGCGGAAGGCGCTGCTGGCGGCGCCCGGCGCGGGGCTGGCACTCGAGGCGCCTGGGTGACCATCAGCTGCGCGTCTGCAGGGCCGCGGCCCGCGCAGCGTCCCCCGGGCAGGAGGGCGGACCCCGCCGCCAGGTGCGGGCGGACCCGCCGGGCACTCGCACCCGGCCGGGCGAGGCGACTCCCCCGTCCCGCGGCGGCCCCCGCCCTCTCCCGCCCGGCGCCCTCGCCCTCGCCCTCACCTTGCTGCAGGTCCCGGTGGTCGTACCAGGGCTCGTCCTCCTTCATCTCAAACTCCTCCACCAGGTTTTCCGCCAGCATCTCGGCCCGCTCTCCCCGCCGCCGCCCCGCCTCGGCCGCTGCCCCGGGCAGCCCAGATCCCCGCCCGCCGCCCTCGGCCAGAGCCGCCCTCCCGGGCGGGACGCGCCGCCGCCCCGAGCGCCCGCCGCCGCCTCTCCGACTCGCCTCTTGCCACACAAGCCTCAACAACCGGGTAAGAAAGCCCAGGGCAGCCCCGAGCCGGCTCCTCTCGCCACAGCTCTGCCCAACGTGGCACTTTGGCAAAACCCTCCCCGACGGAGGACGCGATTCAAACCTTGGCGACGCCTTGACCAATCACGAGCTGGCCACTGGATGAACGGCAGCAACCTGACCCAATCACGTCTCACCAAGGGCTCGCGGCTCGCCCTGTCCCGAGGGCCGCCAACCAATAATGGCTCCAGAACAAACAAAGGAGGCGGGGAAAAGGCGAAGGGGCGCGACCGACCCCACCCCCACGCCTCCTGCGCCGTGTCTTTCCGCGAGCGCGTTCGGCGTTCCGCACCCTGGAGATGCTGGCGGTCGCCGTGGCGCAGTGCTGGGCGACCCGTTGTCAGCCGCTGCGGGCACGCGCTGTGCGGACCCGGGACCTCGGCCTCCGAGTGGTGGGCGGTGGTTGCAGGGCTAGGGGCGTCTCGCAGCGCGCTGCCCCGCCGGCCCCTCTGGTATCCTGACGCCTGTTTTTGCTCTAGGTGATGCGGGAAACCTCGGACTCGAAGTTTAGGGCCGGAGAAGGCCCTTGAGTGTGCCTGAGCTCCTTCTCCCTGGACCGCACAGCCCTCGCCCTCAAGCCGCGGAGGTTTGTGCTCCCGAAACGGTGGGCGCCGGCCCCACTGGCGAACTTGGGGGCCGAGAGAAGAGCCCCCGCCCTCACCCCCTTCATGGGCAAGAAGTCGCGGGCAGTTTTGCACACGACTTTTCAAAGGTTCGTGGCCTGGCAGATAGGCATCTGGGGGCGTGGGTTTGCACCAGGGATGCTAGGCGCGCCCAGAGACCCAGCACCCTTAAAGAGGGGACGGCGGCCTCGTCCGGACGTAGCTAATAGACGCTGATACACAAAACAAAAAAATCAGAGTTTGAAGTAGGAGTATATTATTAAAAGATTATCCCTAGAGCAGAAATTTACAGTGTCAAGTTTGGGGACAAGGAAGAGTAGTAGAGTTCGTTAAATCATCCCGTGTGGCTGCTGCGAATCCACAGGTACCCTGGGTAGATCACTTAGTAACCCCTTCCACGGAGTAGAAGAGCTGCCAGAAATGAAGTGTGAAGTACTTAAAAGTTTGCCTGAAGGGGGACTGAGTTAGGGCTAGAGTTTCATTATAAGTCACTCTATGATCTTATTTATTTTGTTACCAGAATCGAACCCAGGACCTTGTGCGTCCTTGTGCCACTGAGCTATCTCTCCAGTCCCCCGATGTTATTGTAAAACCATGACAGTGATTAAAAATAAGAATTTGTAAGGAAAGAATCAGACTTACCTTGGGCTGTCAGTATAAATGAATAAGGTGTGTAAAGTGGAGAAGGGAAGAAATTCACCCTAAATCTAAGTCTTATCCCCCCTTTCCACGCTTGACTCCAGGGTTCCCTCCCGTGTTGCAGGCTGCAGGCTCCTGCCCTTTGGAGAAACCTTGCAAAAGACAAGGAAATCTCCCCATGTGGGGTTCACTGCCAAAGATCCCCCATCCTTCAGACCTTAAGGAAGACTCCAAAGTAGAGCAGAAAGTACTGTGGACCACAGTCCGGAAACCTAAGGTTCTAGCCCCAGTTGGTACCAACAGAGAAGCCGGTAGCAGCTTTCAGGAGAGATTTCCTCTTGGGCTTCACAGACATGAGAACAAAAGAAACTGTGAGGATATATTTTTATGCTCTTTTCAAGTATAAGCCCACGTCATTATTACTGATAAAGTGTAGGTACCCTAGGGGACACTTATGGGCATCAAAATACATGTTTTTGTAGTGTTAGGGATGGAACATAGGGGTTCCAGCCCATGTACATAAAAGTAAATAATGGTAGTGGGTGAACTGTGGCGTGATGAGCACACACTGAGAAATGAGAAGACTCAGGAGTGGAGGCACACGCCTGTAATCCCAGGACTCAGGAGGCTGAGGCAGGAGGGTTGCTGTGAGTCCCAGGCCAGTCTAGGCTGCATGAGTGAGTTCACGGCCAGCCTGTACTACACAGTAAGACCCCGTTTCAAAAACAGACCCACAAACAAACATAACACTAACCTCCCCAATAAATGAGAGGGAGCCATATGGTAGAATGCCAACCAAGACGCGTAAAAGGGATTTTGATGTTAGTAAAATAGTAAACGATATGCTCCTCTCAAAAAAGCTTTTCTGTTGAATAAAGTTGCACTATCGCTTCTCGGCCTTATGGCTAAAATTAAGTATGGATAAAGGTGAACTAAAAGAATGTTACTCTTCTACCTTATGCTAGGTTAAAAAGAAGATAAAGGCCAGGCATGCACCCCAGGACTGGGAAGGCTGAGGCCAGAGGAATGCCGCGAGTTCAAGGCCAGCCTAAACCCTGTCTCAAAAACCAAACCAAAACAAGAAAGCTAGGCCCCCTGTGAAGCGTTTATTGCCCACATTAGCAGTATTCAGGTAGAGGTATTGGTGCAGAGGCAACAATAAGATAACTTGAAATTGTCTCCGTAACTACAGCTGGAACCCCTTGGAAAGGAAATACTGGGCTTGGTATTTGCCAAAGTGCTTTGTGGAGGCTGCAGGTCTCCAGAATCGTGCATCTGACCTAGTCACTGAGCCTCGAGGTTGAATGTGCTGGCTCTTTTCTCCATGACGTACACAAGTTCATGAGGAAAAAGCACTGAATATTCGTTAAAATTCACCTTAAAAAATGAGAAAGAAGAAGCCAGGTATGGTGGTACAAGCCTGCGGGCCCAGCACTGGCCAGGCTGTGACTTTAGGGCAGACCTTAATTACAGTGAGGTCCTGGCTCAGAATAATAAAAAAACCAAACTAAAAGTTAAATCTGGAGAAGTCAAGGTATTCGAAATCTGATATAGCAAGAACAAAACAGAACCCCGAAAGTTTCATGGCTACAGGACTGTGCTGATGGCTCTTGTTAAGGGTGCTGTTTTCAGAAATGTTCCCACTTGGAAAAGCTGAAGCAAAAATTGCACTGCAAAAGCAGTTTTGGCTTTGCGGGTCTCCGTTTGCGTGGAAGCAGTCGTGTAGCCTCTTTGGTGATGTCAGTATTGTCCCTTGGTTCAGCGGTAGGTTAATGAGTAATTCCCCAAGTTGATTCTAAGAGAGATTTGGGTCTTCATAGTAACAGTATTTGGCTTCTCCAGCCTCTTCATCACACCACTCTGCGGCTTTTAAAACTCTTCTGCAGAAAAGTGTTGTGATGAAAAAAGACCCAGCTTCAGAAGTCCTTTGTCCTTTGTTGTGAAGACAAAACGTGTTTTTAGTTTTAACATTTTGTTGCTAAAGTAAAACCGTGTAAGAAGAGCTTTTAGATAGCAGTAGTGGCTTTTAAAAGATTGTTAGTGCCAGGCATGGTAGCAGTCACCTGTAATCCCAACACTTGGGACTACGTGGTGACCAGCCTGAATTAGAGAGAAGACGAGAGAGAGAGAGAGAGAGAGAGAGAGAGAGAGAGAGAGAGAGAGAGAGAGAGAGATTGTTGGTGGTGATCGCCACTTTGATACTGACTGAAGTAGGGATGTACTGTGATGAAAGTAATTAAACAATATTGACAGCTCTTTGGAGAGGAAGATGTTGCTACCTTCTCAATACACGTAAAAAAATAAACTCATGCTATAGGGTTTCTCGTGTTATCAGAACCTTATGTTGGCAGGTACAGTGGTGTCTGCCTGGAGTCCTAGCTACTTGGAACGCCGAGGCAAGAAGATGATACTCCAAGGTCAGCTTGGGCAACTCAGAGAGAGTTGGTCTCCAAATTAAAAAATTTAAAAAGAGGGCCGGCCAAATAGCTCAGTGGATTAAAGCACCTGCAAACAGGCGCAGGGCCGGGGGTTCGATCCCCAGGCCTGCCATGCCAGCCCCACCCCCCAGGGCGCACTGAGATGGCGATTGAGACTGGGCGTGGTGGCATGTGCCTGTAATCCCAGCTCTTGGGAGGCTGTAAACAGGCGAATCACTATGAGTCCTATCTAATAGTGAGACCCTGAACACCCTGTAGACCCTACCGTAAGGAAAAAAAAATTAAAAAGAACTGGGGATATAGCTGAGTGGTAGAGCTGGGTAGATCCTGGGTTTGATCGTGAGAAAAATAAACACAAGATCTTTACATTCTTAGTTTCGGATAGGATGGGTGTTTGGAAAACCTTAAGGTCAAATCAGGGAGTTTATGACACTGCAAAGTTCTGAGTTTGTAAATATTTGCTTTCTGACCTATGATAGATAGATCAGAGTGACAGATTAGTTCAGAAAAGTATGGTGTGCTTGTCATTTTATGCATGCGTGAAATAAGAAAAAGAAGAGTGCCTCGATTTTGGGGGCTAGATTCGTCTTGGCTTTCGGTCCTACTGGCTTCCTTGGTTGAGGCTTTCTGTGCAATAAAGCAACCTCTAGCCTTTGTCTTCATTCTCTCTTATTTTTTTCTTTTTCTCGCTTATGCCAGAATAACTCCCTAGAGTGAGATCTTCTTCAGCAATTCCCAGCCTCTTCAAACCAGAAAATACCTTTGAAAGCTAAAAGCGTTGGCGGACCACGTGCTGCTGTAGTTCTTGCACTTTTCAAGTGTTTAAGAACTGCATAATAATGAAAAAAATTAGATTTGCATTTTGTCTTTACCGCAGAGTCTGTAAACATCTTAAGAATACAAGTATAAAGAGCTAGACGAAGTGCTCTTTTTCCTGCGCCCTTTGTAGTGCTGGGGAGTAAACCCATTTCCTTCCACTACCACCAGCTAGCAGAAAGTCTAGCTGCATGTCGGGTAGAAATCGGACGTAGGCTTACTTTTGAGCCTGCTTTCAAACTATTGTTTGCCCTGTTTTTCAGAAGCCTCTAAGGAGAAGGTCCTCCAACGGTTAGGAGTTCTTGCTCGATATATAGAAATCACAAATTGGCCAAGCGAAGCTCTTCCGTGTTAACGGCCCTGGGCTTTGCACGCCTGCGGGAGTCAACGCCTGCCAGGGCCTTTCTTGCTGTTTGCAGCCAGCAGCAGGCCTCAGAAACGCTGCCACCACTGGAGATGGTGGCTCCGAGCTGTTCTGCTGTGTTCTCGCTGCTGGCCTTGCGCTGAGTGCCTGCCCTCCTTGATGTTAGCAGCTGCAGCTGCAGCCCTGTAGGCACCAGCGGCCCTTGGGGTCACCAGCCCAGCACCTGCTACCCCAGAGAGAAATTACAAGGGGCGAGAACACGTGATCTGGAAAGGACTTTATGAGAAGTGTGCTGCACAGCATGAGGCGGGATGTGCAGGAACTGACCCAGACCCCGCTTGGGTTGCATCTCTATTCTGTGGTCGCAGACAGGAAGGGGTTCCACTCCAACTGGAAGAAGATAGAGTCATTTGTGATACCTGAAGTAGATGTCATCTGGACAGCTCACGAGGGGCCTGATATGGCTCTGGCCTGGTCACACGGCTTCTGGGGCAGCCACGGGGCAAAAGTACCTTTTTGGAAGCATCCCGTCCCTCTGCCCTGTTACACCACTGTTAGGAGGCGAGCCCTCTAAGCCGCGCTACATTCCTAGCCTGTGTAAAATAATCCTCATTTAGTCTACATCTAGTGCCTTCTGTGGATATGGAGTTAATAATTTTCTTAAAAAAATTCTGTACTCCTAGTGTAAGAACTCAAAAGGAGAAATAAAAATTGAAAGGCATAACACAATTAAAAGGAAAGTGAGAACTTAAGGATTAAACAACGAAGAGAGGGCAAGGAGCAAAGCTAGGAAACATGACAGGGGCAAAGCCATACATTTATATGCACAAGATGGGTAAGGCAGTGAGCCTGAGAGTCTTCAGCAGGCTTTTGAAACTAGCAGTTAATGGGCAGGAGCCTCACTGAAGACAGCAGCGTGTAATACTGGGGTCGTGCTTGGAATGCCTGTCCTGGTCTTCTAAATGCTTTCTGCTTGTCATGTCATACCAATTACCGTTGTACTGTCTCTCAAGTAAATGTTTGTTTAAAAAAAAGGGTAATAAATGAAAACGGAGACCAAAAAAATGTCGTAGGACTGTTCTGCTACAATGTTGTATATGGTTAGATTTCTAAATTTCCATGTAAAAATATGTAATTGATTATTCCAATTTTTAAAAAATATTTTTATTTAAAAAATTCAATTGGCCTGCTATTCATAGAATGTGATTTTTGAGTCTCTCAGGATAAGAGAAGGCGTTTGGGGCCAGTAATTTGATCATTTGGATGACATGCTCAGTCCTCCCCTCCTAGTTGGCCATTCATCCCCTGAAGTGGAGAGAATGGACTGAACTTCCCATTTCCCTCCTCTCCTGGCTCCCCACATTTAAGGGGGAGGCCCCAGGCTTACTCAGAGTAACATCTCGCAAGCTACGTGAATATTCTCTGCTTTTTACTTTAGTAAGATTGTGGAGATGTGGCCAAACCTTCCAGGAAGTCAGATAAGCTGGGATGATCGTTGCGGTCTCTTAAAAGAGACCAAGAGGAAGGTGAACCTAGGTTCACTTCCTGCTGGCCAACCTTTCCTGTTTTCTAGTGGATCAGATGGAAGGCTGAGATGGTAGCTGGATTGGAGAGGGACATCTAGGTCGGAGTGAGAATTGGAGTGCTATTTTGAGATGGCTCTTAGATGTGTCCTATGGGTCAGAGCTACAGCGTTTATCAAAAGAGCAGGAATGAACCTTTAGATGCAAGTCTGTGTTTCCGAATGCGCAACTTTCTCATAAGGGGCTTGTATCCGCTTTCTCTGTGACTAGCAAAAGCTTGTCACTGCACTGTTGTTCTTCTGTTGTACCGTCCCAAGTAGGGAGGAGAATAACACGTAAGCATACCTCCCTCACTACCAGCTAAATGTGTCCAAACTCTTGACAAATTCTACTTTATAATTTAAAAAACATAATAAGATATTAGTAAAGGGCCGGCGAGATAGCTCAGCAGACTAAAGCGTCTGCTTAGGCAAGCTCTCAAAAGCACAGGGCCTGTGGTTTGATCCCGATACCACATGGTGTGCCAGCCCCACCCCCAGGGCAGTCTGAGCTGGCCGGAGTCCAAGCATAGTGGTGCACACCTAGAATCCCAGTACTGGGGAAGCTGAAAGCAGGAGGATCACTGCGAGTCTGAGTTGCATGGTGAGACCCTGTAACAACCAAATACATTAAAAAAAAAAAAAAAAAAAAAAGATAACAGTAGAGTCAGTCCCTGTGCAAACTGGAATTCCTGGCAACATCTTAGAAAGCACTGGGTGAGTATAAGCAAGTATTCAATCTGATGATATATTCAAAGATATTGGTTTTATTCTTTTAACTAAAATGAACTAACTTTCAGCCAGGCATGGCAGTACATGCTTGTAATCTCAGCATTCAGGAGGCAGTAGCAGTACAATCGTCGTGAGTTGGAGACCAGCCCAGGCCACGAAGTGAACTCAAGGCTAGCCTGAACTGCACAGCAAGACCCTGTCTCAAAAAGGAACCACCCTAGGGCTGGGGAGATGGCTCAGTAGAATAAATGCTTCCCTGGCAAGCACAAGGGCCTGAGTTCAATCCCCAGTTCTGCAAACAACAACAACAAAAACAAACCCAAAATTAACTAATTTTCAGTGGAATATTATTTTTCCCCATAATTTTATTGAGAAATAAATAGCAATGAGACAGGCAAATCAAATTGGTAGGGCAGTTCCAGCAATTAACACATTGCATACTGCCTTCCTAGTGGTTGGTTGCTGTATTCAGTGGAATATTATCAATCATCAACTATCGTATGGAAGCAGTGGTATTGTAACTTTTTTTTTTTTTTTTTTTTTTTTTGTTATTTTTACAGAGGGAAACAGAGCTCCTCTGCATGGAAAATGACATTTTTTCCTATCAAACCCACTGCCTGGGCATACTCCATGATAACATTAGGAACTACGATGCTGCAGTCTGTCTTCAGCTTCTACTATGTGAAACTGTTTCTAGACCTGTACAACATTTCAGAAGTGGCCTTCTATCAAGCCCAGGTGAGAGAGCCCTTCGCACAGCATGACTACTTCCTCCTCATGGCTGTGTGTCATTGCCCCACCACATGGCTGATTCTTCACATAGTTGAGTTATCAAGAGACATTCTTGAGAACTGGGGATGTAGCTCAGTGCTAGGGCACCTGCCTAGCCTGCAGTGGCCCTGGGTCTGGCCCTCAGAAACAAATAATACGATTCACAAACCCATGTCCAAGTTCTCTGAAGACAGAGAAAGATGTTGTAAGGATTGCTACTTAAGTATAAAAGCTTTAGAATTTGAAGGGTAAGACTTGATCATTTTGAATATTAATTTATGTGGAATAATCAGTATTGTTATTATTTAGGTATCTGTCTGAAAAGGCCCACAGTATTGCCAATTAGACGGTCAGGATGGATTGACCTCATAGGTTTAAAGCCCTTGTGTTGGGCCGGCCAGAGAGCTCAGCAGTTTAAAGCTCCTCAAGCAGGCTCAGGGGCCAGGGGTTTGATCCCTGGGCCTGCTGTGCTGGCCCCGCCCCTGGGGCTCGCTGAGCCAGCACTTGGGATGGGTGTGGTGGCGAGTGCCTGTAATCCCAGCTCTTGGGAGGCTGTAAACAGGTGGATACTACAAGTCCAATCTAGTAGTGAGACCCTGAGCACCCTGTAGACCCTGCCCTAAAATACGGAAAAAAAAAAAGCCCTAGTACACATTTGTGACCAACAGGAACATGCGGCTAGCTACATCTTGAGTTGGTGAATCTTGTTCCTTTTACTTTTCCTCATAAAATTATTTAAACTGCGCCTTGCTGTGCACAAGCCACCGCTACAGAAGCGCGGCCCCGTGTGTCGGCTCGTGGGAAGGCACAAACGGGGTTCACTGCTTGGCCCCCAGCCTGTTGCTGGTGAGGCAAGCTGCACAGTCTGCTGGCCCTCAGCTTCTTCCTTTGTAAATTGGGAGAAGTAACAGTAGCTATTACATAGGTTTGTTTTTAGAGGTTTGATTAAATACAGTACCTAGAGCAAAATGGGTACACATTAGCGCTTGAGTAGAATTAAGTATAATTCTTATTAATATTTCAGATGGTTCTTTTTTAAAAAAATATTTTATTTATTTGTTTGGTATAGGGTCTCGCTATGCAGCTTGGATTCATAGTGATCCTCCTGTTTCATCTTCCCCAACACTAAGATTATAGGCGTGTGCCACCATACCTGGTTTTGGTGGCCAACACTGCACACCCAGAGTTCCAGGACTGGCATGGCATTCTGTACCGGGGATTGAACCCAGGTCCTTGCGCTGGCCAGGCAGGCGCTTAGACCACTAAGCTATCTTCCCAGCCCCACCTGGTTCTGAAAACAGTGAGTTTTTTTACTGATCATCTTTAGATATTTCATATAAATAAAAATAAAGGCCCATTTCATCTTATGAAGTAGTGGTTTTCAAGGCAACTACTTTTTTTTTGTAGAACCAGGGGTTGAACTCAGGTCCTTGCGCTTGCCAGGGAAGCACTTAGTCTACGGAGCCATCTCCCCAGCCCCGAGGCAACTACTATTAATCATTGAAGTAATCCTGTGTGTTTCTTCTCCCTAGATCCTTTTAGTGGTTTGGAATGTCCTTAATGACCTGACTGTGTACTTTTGTGTCGACTTCAAGGCTGATTGCAGGGTAGGTCGTTGTCTTTCCGCCCTGTTCGGATCCCTTCTGTGTGCGGCAGCCTTCCTGCTCCCGTGGTTCCCTTGGAGACACTACCAGGATGGCGACTGGCTCTGTGGACTTCACCTGATGGCGTCCCTGTGTGCTGTTGACAGCACACTCACCTACGTGCAACAGGCCCACTGTAGATTCTTTGTAGAGACTTTCAATAGACACGAAAGCAGGCTCCAACTGATGAAAATTAACCAAGTGGCATCAATGGTAGGATCTAGTGGCGTCCTTTTCTGTGGCCTCATCTCTGGTAACCTGGACGTTCTGCCCAACTTTCAGGCTGCAGCTACTGTCATTGCCTTTGTGGCGGCTGCCAGCCTTTATGCTGGCATGTACCACATGCGACAATTGGAACTTAAAAGAAGTCCCGAGGAAAGCTTTCTCTTGGAAAGTGAGCAGGATGTTGCCTGGACCTCTGTCTTCTTGCTGATGAGGCAAATCTTAACCCAGAAAAACTACTACCTTTTTTTAATCATGAATGTCTTCCAAGTTTTCCACTTGACCTTCTTCAACAACTTCATGATGATCTTTGCAGATATTCTTATTCCCAGAGATGTTCTTTCTTCTTTCACGAGAAGCATTTTGTACGGGGCAGGCTTTATTTGCTCACAGGTATGTGATAATTCACAGATTGTCCTGTGTGGATTAAATACTCAGCTCTCAGGGAATGAGGAAATTAGAAACCTGGTTATCTCAATAGCTTGAACAAATGACACACCCGTATTAAGAGGCCCAAAGAGTCAGAGCCTCAGATGTTAATTCGATTCACTAGAACCATAATAGGAGAAAAAGATGAAAGGAAGGAACCAATGAAAGCCAAACAATGCAATATTGTGAACTTTTTAAATTTTAATTTTTAATTGAATCCCCCAGGCTTTCTCATTTAAGCTTCAGCAGAACTATGAAAGCAAATAAATGGCTTCCTGTCAGCATATAGTTTTGTTTTATTCAGGTATTTAAGATTTCTGTGATAGAAGAAGAGTCACCTCATCAAGAATTCATGAGGTAACATTTCAAAACACTTGGCTGAAAGCATGAGTCTCAGAATTCCAGAGTGCTGTTAAAATTCCGTGGTCATGACTACCGCCCGGCCTTGCTGTAGCGGGCAAGTCCTCCTTCACGGGGGACGGCGTGCTGTTCGTTCGGCCATTCTCCTCTTTACCCTAAGTGTATCCGTAATGCATGGGACTCAGTCCAGCCTGTGGTAGGGGTTCCTCCCCGCTTTACAATTATATAATAAATAAAACCTACTACTTATACTCTTCAGGGAATAAGAAATGTTATTCCAGATAGATAAGAAGGTTTTACTGTTTGCCAAAAATATTTAAGCCATTTGGGGTAGAAATAGTTCTGAAGTGTTTTATATGTGAATATAACTTCTTAAGCAAAATATATCAGAAAGATAGTATTATAGCATGAGTCTGGATGTCCCCACAAGCCTTGTGCACTCACAGGTGGGGCTTTTTCAGAGGAGGCTGAATCCAGAGTGTGGGACACTGGGATGGATTCATGGTGCCATGCTAGGATCAAGGGCTCTGATGTTGAGGGCAGGCGTGCTGCCTGCCCCAAGGAGCCTGGAGAAGGGCAGAGAGAGCTGAGGTCGTCCCCCGATTGCTTGCTGCCTTCCGCCACCGTGAGCTGTTTCCCCTCTGCGATGCCTGTTTGCCCTCACAACCCTGCCTTGGAGCCAGCCAATTGTGGACTGAAACCTCTACAAACTGTGAGCTAAATAAATCCCTCCTCCCTTAACTTTGGGTGTCAGGTATTTTGTCTCAGTGGTGAGTAAAGAATTTGGTAGCAGAAAAGTGGGATTGTTGCTGTCACTGTACCTGACCAACTGATTTAGGAGCCTCCCCTTTTTGTGTATTTGGTACAGGGTCTCACTATGCAGTTTGGACTCATAGTGATCCTCCTGTTTCAGCCTCCCCAGAGCTGGGATTACAGGTGTGCGCCACCACGCTCAAACTCAGTGCCTGGCTCAGCACACCTGGAGATAGGGCCGGCACAGCATGTGTGCTGGGGATCGACCCCTCTGGTCCCTGCACTTGCCTAAGCAGGTGCTTAATCTGCTGAGCTATCTCACTGGCTCAAGTTTAGGAGACTTTGGAGCTGCTTGTGGGAGGCGGAAGTTAGGAAAGATTTGCGAATGCTGACTTAAAAAGTAGAACTGGATGGGGGCCTGCCCATTAGCTCAGTTGTTTAAGTGCCTGCTTAAACAAAGCATTCAGCCTCAGGGTGCTATGGTTTGATACCCAGATACTCAAGCCAAAGCAGACCTGAGCTGAAGGCAACCTGAGGCCACCAAAAAAAAAAAAAAAAAAAAAAAAAAAAAAAAAAGTAGATCTGGAACACCTGAGGTTGCACTCAATGGGAGATTCTGGTCAGAGCTCAGAAGACCAGAAGGCGGGATAGAAATTCTGCCAATAAAGAACAGGCTCAGGAGGTTTCTGCTGGGAAGAAGGATTGTGTTGGCTGTTGGACTCCAGACAATGTGTGGTAAGCTTTGGTGGGCAGTTTGCCTGCATTATGCTTATGTCCAGAGCCTGAGACTAAGGTCAGTGGACTAATCAATCTGGTAGAAGAAAGTTCAAGGCAGCCTAATGTTGAGGCAGTGGCATGGCTACTGTTGGGAGCTTTTAGCCAGATTTATGTTGAGAATCAAGAGCAAAGAGCCCAGAAGAATGATTTAAAACATTTTGAGTTTGTCCAGACTGGGTGCTCTGCTAAAGCTGAAGCCCACAAAGGTAGAACAGAGGAGAAATTGGTCACTGAAAAGACTCGCAGGAAGCCAAGCATTTCAGAGGAAGACAAGAGAAAAGATGGCCTGAGGATGGCACAAGAACCAGTGGGCCAAGGCTCTGCGGCCTGAGTTGCAAAGCAGAAGGACTTAGCTTGGCAGAGAGCTCTGGGGCCCTGTGTTGCTGCACATCAAGGGAATGGAGGCAGCCCAGGGGCTTGTCCCTCAGGATTTGGTTCACAGGCTCTTGACCCCTTAGACGGGAGAGGAAATCCTGGCTCCTGCTCTACCTGGAGGCGCACCTTGCAGGATCGACACACGGTGCCGGCTTTAGGCGCATGCGCAGTGTGCGAGCTGTGGGGCCAGAAAGGCTTCCACCAAGAGTTCAGCAGAAGGCCTTGGGGACCAGCCAGTGTGCCCCTGGGAGCACAGCCTGTGAAGCTATGAGTGAGAAGCCGAAGGTGCAGTGGAGAGAGACCCGAGAAATCTGGAGAAGCCAGGAATGGGGGTCATCTGACAAACACTGCAAGGAGGGAGCAGGGCCAGCCCCGGAGGGAAGGAGGGCACTACAGCTACCAGAAGCAGAGGCAGAGCCCCCCAAGCCTCTGGGGCTCACAGTCTGTCTCAGATTGCCGGGGGTGGGGCTGGAAGTAGAACTGTGGGATTTAATGTTTGCCCTGCAGGATTTTGGTCTTGCTTTGTTCCCATTTCTTGTTATCCCCTTTTGTAACTTTTGTAATGCAAATGGCTATTTTGTGCCATTGAATGTGAGAATTGTTTAACTTTCTTTTCATGTGTACAGGGGCTCAAAGCTAAGAGTTCATTTTGAATTTCAGGGAAGACTTGGAAGTTTTCATCAGTGCTGAAACTGTCAGCACTTTAGAAACTCTTGCAGCTGCCTTTTTAGTAAAGGGCTGTGCATGAGTCTGGGGTCCAGGAACAGGGTGTTACGCTTGTGTCTGCATGTTTCCTCGGAGCCTCATGTGCTCATGTGTGGAGCTTTTCCAGGGATGGCTTGCTCTAGAGTGCGTGGTACGGGGGTGGATTCACGGTGCAACGCTAGGGTCACGGCTCTAGGGTTACAGGGTGAGTGCTGCCCACCTGAAGTCGCCTGGACAAGATGCAAGGCGTAGAGAGGGCTGTGGCTGTCCCTGGTTGCTTTGCTACCTCCTGCCTGCCATGAACTGTTTCTCTTTGTGACACCTGCCCGCCACGCCACCCTGCCTTGGAACCAGCCGGTCACGGACTGAAGCCCTGGCAACCTCAGCAGCCACTCCTCCTCTGACCCTGGGTGTCGGCGACTCGGGGCAGCAGTGAGGCAAAAGCTAATGCAGACTTTGCCTTTCGGCTCAGGCCCCTCTGCGCTCTCTTCCTGCTGCAGACTACGCCAAGCACGGCGCAGATATTGCCTCATACGGTCCTTGCAGTGAACTCCCAGGGGAGAGCCTTCCCATCCCTAGAGATGAGGAGGCGGCGGCACAGCGGCCTGTGTCTTCAGGGCCGTGCAATTTAGAACACCTGTCCCTTGCAGAGAATGGTGGTGCACACGTGTAGCGCCAGCTATTTGGAGGGCAAAAGTGTGAGGACCACTTAAGCTTGCAAGTTTGAGACCAGCCTGGGCAACGCACTAGACTCCCATCTCAAGATAGAGAAAAATGTTTCTCTCAAGTGTACTATGTGCTCATCACTTAGAATATTCCAAATGGGGCCAACCAGATAGCTCAGTGGAGTGAAGCGCCTGCTTAGGCAGAGCGCAGCGGCATGTAGGGCCAGCCCTACCCCTGCAGCGTGCTGAGACAGCAATGGAGACTGGGCGTGGTGGTGCACGCCTGTAATCCCAGCGCTTGGGCGGCTGAAAACAGGAGGATCACTCTGAGTCGGACCTAGGTAGTGAGACCCTGTAGACGCTGCACTAACTATATATATATATATATATATATATATATATATATATATATTCCAAATGGAAGTTTTGGTTCATCAGTGGCCCCTGAGGTTGTGGGCGCCTGATAAAGCAGTGTGCTCCCTGCAGAGCAATCATATTTATCAGCTCTTCGCGTCTCTGTTAGTCCATTTCATGTTACTATAACAAAATACCTGGAATGATTAACTTACAAGTGGGAAAAATGCACTTAGCTCACAGAGCTGGAGCTTGCCTGGCAAGCGCAGGGTCCTCAGCTCAACTCCCGGTGCCAAGGGCAGGAAGACTGTTACCTCAGGCCTCTGCTGGGGTACCTAGTAACAGTGGTGGGGAACAGAGAGTGGAAGAAACTACTCACTTCATGGCCAGAAGGTGAAAGAGAAGGCGGAGGGCTGGAGCCCAGTAGCAGTGGCCCAGAGCCATCTATAGGGTGGCCTCCCAAAGGATGCAGGATGCGCAATCTCTCAACATTGTGGGGCCCGCCCACTAGCTCAGGTGTTTAAGTGCCTGCTTAAGGAAGCAGTGAGGCTCAAGGTGCGCTGGTCCGAACCTAGATACTTCCTCCAAACCAGAAATGCCCTGAAGGCATGTGCAGGCCTCAAAAAAAAAACAAAAAACCAAAAAACCTTCAACAATGACACCCTGGGGACCAAGACTGGACTGTTGGGGTTACTCAAGATCCAAGTTATGGGGCCCTGGGGAGATGGCTCAGTAGGACAAGTGCTTCCCTGGCAAGTGCAAGGATCTGAGTTCAATCCCTGGATCTGAAAAAAAAAAAAAAAAACAAATCCACTTACGTGTTACAGATTGCCAGCACTGCAATTAAAATCTGAATACTGAGTTTTTGGGAAAAAAAAAAGATCCAAATTATACTAGCTTTTAATGAAACAATTGAGAACAGGAAGCTGTGTGAATTCCCATCTCTGCTTAATAATATTTGCCACCAGATTCCAG